ATTAATATACCTAGAGTTATTTCTGGTGTAAGCGAGTTTATTAAAAACATTCGTTTATTCATATTTTATAACTAAACAGAACTGATGAATTTCGTTTCTTTTCTTTTACAGTTCGTTTATAGATAAATTTGAACAATATGTATATATAGAATTAAGTTGCTAGGTAGTTACTTTGTTAATTATGTATCATGATTACATGCTCCGTATATACAATTATGTGTTCAAAACCACACAAACATAGAAATAACAAAACAAAAAAATTAGGTTAGTAAAAAACGAATATTTCATATATGCATGCGATGGACTTCAATAAAGTTTGTTTCAAATGTACGTATTTGCAAAGTGAGATAATATATTATTAGAATTATGATGCCATACAGTATCTCTTTGGTATAGTACACAAGAATATATTCCTTCACCAAACGCGCTTTTGTTTTATGTTACAGCTAGCTGCTGCCTGCGACTTTGTTCGTTTGGTGGCTAAGAAACTACAAGTTTGTTAAAAGACATGAACGCCATCCTAAATTTCTTCGTTGCCTCTCAACTCCCATAGAAAATCTTAGATATCAAGTCATGTGTTCTTTTTCTAAGCCACAATGTTTACAGAGAATGTTCTTTCTTTTCATGAGTGTCATTTATTTAAATAAATAAGAAAATTATGGATAGTTTGACCCATTTTTTGTGACACTGGCTCGGTTAAAAACTCAATAGTAAGTAAGTACCATTTGTTTAAATTGTTAGTAGGTATTTCACATTAAATAGAGGAAAAGAATTGAGTATGGTTTCTGCCTAGCCCCTAAGTGATGTAGCGGATAAATTGTGTTTTAAATTTTGCAATAGAATACTGCTAGTAAAACACATAAAGTCTTGTTTAGAGTGAAGCTTGAACAAACAAATAGGCAAATTTAATATACGGATTTTACAATTTTAACAAGCCCAAAGACGGCTAGAATATGTTGCGCAACGGCACAACATATTCTAGCCGTGTTTGGAGTTCCAGTGTTAAATTTTCGGCTATATAATCACACCGAGAAAACCAAACCGATCATGGCCAAAAGCATTTAAGGCAATATCAACAAGTCCAAACACGCCTAGGTTATGTTATTCCGTTATGATATTTCTGTGTTTACCTTCTGGGACCATTATTAAATCAGTCCAATGATACCACATTATTGTATTGTCATTAAAACTAAATCCAGTCGCCAAGATGCATGACGATTTAACAATTACCAGTATGTGAAATTCAGTGTTTAAAATTTCATTACATGCATACAAATAAGTGAAACTAATAAAAGCGTGTTAAAACATTTTCTTTCCGTGGCGTAACGACCTTTTTGAATCTTGGCCTCCTAAACGATTTTCTTACATTTTTTTCTGTCTTTAGCTTCTCTTTTCCAAGATGTTTTCCTGCTCATATTTCTCAGGTCTTTCTCGATGCAGTCCTGGCCCCGCTTCTTGGGTCTTCTTCTGAGCTTTTTCTGTTGCGGAATCCAGTTGAAGATGGTTTTGACAGCTCTAGTATCATCCATTCTTTTCAAGTGGTCTACCCATCTGAGCCTTTGCTTCTTCCAAAACTTGACGATTGTGCCTCCAGTTCGTGATTCATCCTTATGCGATTTTTCTTAGGACTTTCTTTTAGAATAATGCCAGTTTAAGTTCATCTATTTGCGTCATGTTTGGGTTTTGCGTGCATAGGTAATGAACGGCCGGATGATAGTTTCATATATCGTAAGTTTTGATTTGGTAGTTAGGAACTTATTGTTAAGCATGGCCTTATACGCGTGGAAACATTTCTTTCCAGCGGTAATACAAACCTTGTATTAGTGATAAAACAAATCAGTTGATTTATTTTATCACTTTATATTCATTCATCCTTTCCAAATAGCCAAACCACCGTAACACACCTTTATCTAACTCATCTTAGATCACAGTACACACTCTTTGACGTCGCTGTTCCAACACCTATCTATCAAAGGCACTCCTCCACATTTATTACGTAAACGTCACATCTCCACGACACTGATTCTACTTTTATTTGTTTTTCTTATTCTTGGTGATATTTACTTTTATACCGTTTATCTTAATTGAATCTTTCATTTTAGTTTCAATTTCCTTCAACTAGAACGCCAATGGCGTAAAGATTACTCGGTCTACGACATACAGGAGGTAGTTGCATATTTTTTGCTATTCTTTTACGTTTCATGCAGCATAAATACGTTTTTTCAGCCGATATAGGAAAAATGTATCTAGCTATAGAACTAAATCAAGATCAACAAAATTTACAACAAATTATTTTGCGTTATGACTCAAGTCAGTCATTAATAACATTTCCGCTGAATATTTTGACCTCAGGAACCGCTTCAGCTCCATACTTGGCAACAAAGTGTTTGCTAAGACTAGCCACACAATGTTCAAATTAATGCAATTTTACATGATTTTTATGTCGATGACTACCCAAGCGCTGCTGATACTGTAGAGCCAGCGGTTGTGTTATGTCAGGTAGTTATTGCATTTCTGTCATCATCTAAATTAATATTTAATTTATTAAATTAAGAAAGTGTCGCTCAAAAAATAACTGCGAAATATTAAATTAAATCTGTGAGAGCACAGGTTATCAAGTAATATTTTAGATTTATCGAACAATAATAAAAGTCAATCTTCAAAAACAATGGGTTTATACTGGTTGTGCGATACAGACAAATTTTCATTTTTTATTAATATACCTTCACGAAAAAATGTTTGATCAATTGGGCCATGTGACTCCATGAATCGTTGAAATAAAAATTACTTTAAAAGTTATGGATAAGAAAATGCAATTGGGACAATATTGTACCACATAAAATAAAAAAAAAATAGTTATCATTCCCTAATATATTAACCATGCTTTAATAATGTAAAAATTCAACGTTAGGTAATTTGTGACAATCATAAAGTAATAGAAATTCATACATTTATAGACAAACTATGTATGGTGCATGCCTTTATATTCTTTCCATCAGTTGAACAGAGGATCTGAAGACCTCTAAAAACAAGGTTAATTTAGGATAAACTTTTTAATTTAACAGACTAAACAATTAAACCTACGATAATTCCACCTCTCAAGCTTTTGAGAGCTTCACTTGCTGCAAGACCGTGAGCTAAAGTAATGTCGTCTCCTACTGTAAAGGTCAATCGGTGTGTGTTCTCGTGCGACTCAACAATTGTATTAGGATGGTTTTCATTTTCTTCTACCGACCTAAAACAATTTGTACGTAATCGAGTTAACGAAATCCAAGAGACAACAAGCGGTCACAAATGGGGCTACGTGCTATCGAAGGAAAATCCTTCGGATCTCGTTTCTCGCGGGGTCAGAGCCGATGTTATCGGTGCAACTTTGTTGTGGTGGTCAGGCCGCAAATTTTTATGTCACGATGAATATGCATGGCCCACCGCGCCTAGTCAAAGTCCTACTCGCGACGCAGCAGACATTTTATTACAATACGTTAAAGAACCAAATAGTTCTCTGTTCTTTATCGTATTCCTCAAAATTTTCAAATTTCATGGCTTTGTAGCGAACTTTGTAAATAAATTTATACATAACTGCAGGAATAAAAATAATAAACTATAAGGTTTTTCATCAACTCAAGCGCTTAATTCAGCTCAGCTACTTATTATTCGTATTGTGCGAGCGACACGTTTTTAGAAGAATACTTCATTGTAAAATCAGACAAGGTTTTTGCCAGTCAAAAACAGACTAAACTCATTATCGTCATTTTTTGATGCGGATGACGTCATGCGCGTTGGTGGAAGACTTAATAAGTCTCCATATAGCTATGTCGTAAAACATCCAATTTTGTTGTGCACTAATGATCGCGTAAGTAAAATCACTTTTGAATTACAACAAAATAAATTACTACATGCCGGTCCTCAACTTCTTTTAGCATGCATTAGATAAACTTATTGGCGGTTAGCTGATAAAAATCTATCCAAAAAGGTAGTAAATAAATGCATAATGTGTTCTAGATTTAAAGCTCAAGTGATTCAATCAGTAATGGGACAATTACCTTCTAGTAGAAGTGAACTAGAGTGTTAACAGTAATACGAAGAGTGTTAAATAACATCTGCCCCTTACCTAAATCCCTTAACCGAATTTTTGAAATTCTTGAACCCGAGGAGCATATTGAACACATCACTACTCAACAAAGACGAGCGCGTGCGGCAGAACACGGCACATCACTGTCATCGCGACCGTTGACAAGTCCAAATCCGCTTTAATATTAATCGCATCATTTTATTGTATAGTATATAAACCAGCTAAATTACAGGCCGTTTGTGTCATTTATGACACGAATAGACTTTATAAAAAACTCTAAACAAAGGAATAATAAACGAGAATATTATGTATAAATGACGTACTACGTCCAAACAAATTTGCGTCAAGACAAAATTTAAGCAGTTTTAACCTTATTTTTCCTTAGGAATACACATCAAAGCAATAATTTAACCAGAGAGGCAATCAAAAATATAACTAAGGTTTATTTTCGGTGTCTAAAAACCAAAATTTCAGCCACCAATACTGTGTTAACTAACTGAGCTTTAGTATTTACTATGAAATCTAAGTTGTGGTCATGCGAATATAATATCAAAGGTGATTTATGGGCAGCGACCTAATCCCGGCCCTCCGTCCGTTTGTTAGCGTAAGCTCCTGTTAGAGGTATTACGGTGGGAATATACATGGAAATGCCAAACTACCTTATTAGTTTTCGGCCATCGAAGGATTGCGGTGGATCCGCTCGCCAGTTACAACATCTATTCTGAAAAGATATCTAAATTTATGGATTTGTATTAAAAAAGTATTGAATTTTAATCGGTGATTTTTGCAGGTTCTTATGTCTTTCGTATTAAAACAGGAACTGTTTTGGAACGAAGTTCCTTATTACACGTTACAATTTAGGCGCTTGGCGAATGAACGCTAGGCCGAAAACGCATGCGCCACGATATTTTTCAAAATTTTCTTTTATGTACATAGCATGTTAAATACACCGATTCTCGTTCGATCATCGAAGTTAAGCAGGGTCGGCCATAGTCAATATTTCGATGGGTGACCGGCTGGCAACACCGACGTCGGTGTTCCCAGTGTTGTATATATATATATATATATATATATATATATCTATATAGAAAGGAACTTCGTTCCATCCTTGTACACATTTACTAGATGTATTGCTATTTTGATTATGGTACCCAAGGAGCAATTATTTTTGCTTTAGCCATATGCTTTATATTCTATACTAAACATATATACATATATATATTAATATCTGTACACTATGAGTTCCAATTATAATGGAAATTTACAAAAAACCTTATTAAAATAAATTTATTTTATTCGACTGTTTTCTAGTATTATTCTTGCATTTAATCCACATATTAACTGTGCACTAGAACTCGTTACGCCACATAAAATAAATCGATGTACAAATTAGACGTGTCCAAGATTGTACATCACGGGAAGTATTTAAAGCGTGATCTCGTTAAAGCTCTATGTGCCATCTTGTAGCGACACTATGCATTGTGGTACGTAACTAAATAATATATTAATAATACAATAACGTCAATTTGGGTCATAAATTGATTTATTTTGTTTTATAAATAAACAATTAATGCATAAAATAAATGAGTGTAATGCATTAATTACATTCGTTTATATAATGTACGCATTACGTCTTACATTAATGAATGCATTACACTCATTAATGCAATACATTTGTTGTATCACATTAAGCATACAATTCTAATAAATTTCGTTATGAATATTATATATGCCTCTCCATATGGAATTTCATGGACAGCCGATGTGGGTTCCGTACGTTGTATGGAACGCCTAAATTTTATTCCTTTTAGGTAGTCGCGTGAGTAAAATAAAACCCCGACGATGTTTGGTTCTAAGTCATCATCAGTGTGATGCATTGATCAACGACACGCCACGTGGCTGTCTACCATCATACAGAAGTTCGTGGGCGTGGATCCTTCGGCTTGTACCGAATATCGAAATAAACTAGTTGAACTGTGTACCGCCGGTGCTTTTGCCACCGTTTACGGGGTTTCGCAGTTAACAAGAGAACCTTATTGTATCGCCATGTCCGTCCGTCTATCTGTCTGTCTGTCTGTCTACGACTTAGCTCGGAGATTCTCAGCAATTTAAAGTTGTAATTCGATACGATAAGGGTAGTGTGATTATGCCGCTTAAGTGGTAAAATGAAATCTTGCATTTTTTTTTTATTTCGGTACCTTCCCTACATGTAAAGTATGGACATTTTCTTTCGCGTTTATCTCATAGTGTGGGGTATTGTTATGTGGGTAGGATTTTTAATTTAACGAGTAATAGTCGACCGATTTTTGAAATGTACTCGGAAATGTAAAAAGTAAAATTTAGTACAAATTCCTTTACAAATAACTTATACTAATTTTGTTACTTCTGTGAAACAAATAGTAAATATCAGTTTATGTACCATATAAAATGATGGAAACATAAAATCATAGAATAACATCCTTAACACCCGTCCTACGTGGGCCTGTTTTTATACGTTATTAGCCGTTAAACTGTGAACTCAATAGGTTCATAGTATGAAAAAAAGCGTCCTTCTTAGTTCGCATATTATGACAGAAAACTACAGAACTTGTACACATGCTCCGACACGCACTTGAACGGTTTTTGCTTGTATGCCGAAAAATTAAGATTCTCTATTAAGAAATACCTACTGAGTCTTAACAAAATGAAGTTTAACCGACAGTCAAAATTCTTCCGCGTCGTTAGCATCAATATTCCAGAATTTTCATACAATACGTAACACTGAGTTTTCTAAGAACGCTGAAGTACGTCCTTATCGTCTAACCAGAAGCCCAAGTAACTGTCTCAATGTTACTAACTTCACACATTACGGGTTTTTTTAACGATTTCCAACTCTCATTTAGTCTCTTCAAAGGTTAACTTTTATTCGGTTAACTTTAAATATTTTAGGGTTCTTGTGCAAAAAGAAGATAAGTAATTTTACCATAACGTAGAAAGTTATCTTAATTTCTAATCAGAATTCTTAATATATATTTTACATAATTATAATTTCAAGAACGAGATTTATATTTCCACATAAATCTTCTTCTTCCATTTTATCCTCTGATCGAATTAATGTAAATTTTATATAAATTTTATTTATTATAAATTTTAGAACACTTCCACCAATTATATAAGTACTGCTGACTGTTTTAACGATGTACACCTGTTGTATTTTTTATTGACAGACTTTAAATTTTCCGTAATGTTTGTGATGAATCAGTAGTATTTGGCGTTCACAAAGTATTGGATATGTATTCAAAGTCTATGGTATTCCACTTTTATATACGAATACGTATTCTCATACACTATGCACATGTTTTATGTGTAGTGCGTGGTTAGAAAGAGAACTCCTTTGCGTTGTTTAAAGGTGTATTTTTCAATTATTATGTAGTATATTTAATACTTCTATATAAGAAAATATATCTATAATTCTTTTTTCTAGTAAAAAAAAATATATTATTCAGTTTGACGACTCCAGAAATATAGATGCTAGACGTATATTTCTATACTTATATTTTATAACTATTACACATTTTTTATCAAAAGAAACGGATGATACTTTCAGGCTGTATTTGGGTTGAAAAGGCATTGGAATATCACATTTTTTTCGATGGACGATCAATCCAATGCAAAAGAGTTTTTTTTTGATTTCGAGACCAAACGTCATATTGGATAACTTGGATTTCGAAAGATCCGATCAGCATCGTCACAATTACGATGTTTTGGTATCAAGCTTTTGCATGTTGGGTACTATTGTGTTTTTTTTTTGGTATTTTTTTTTATAATGACTCAAAGTCTATTTTACATACACATTATTTTGTTTTGAGATTATATCACTTGCTATTGTATCAAAAGTGTAGCGTGAAATTGTTGGATTTTTTTTTTTACTATATTTTCATTTTGATTTCGGTCTTTTTTGCATCTGAATTTTGCTTTCTTTTACATCTGAAAGATGTGGAGAAGATGCACGATGAAGAAATAGGTCGCCACTTGGAAGAAAGTGGTGGTAGTTTGTCCCTGTGTTTAACACAATCGTGAGACGATGTTTTTAATTTTGTTGATTTTGAGGACTGAATTTAAAAAGTCTAATTAAAGAAGTAAAAAGTCTATACAATTTTGTTTTTTTAAAAGGTATACTTCTTTTGAGGTGTTATGGAAAAATGATGAGAGTGAATTTTTATAGGGGTAACACAAAAATCTACAGTATGAATTTCTCGCAAGCGGTTTAGTGAGCAACTTCAGACCACTAATAACTGATGTCCCAATCAGGTTCGCCACTAGGTCACGTTATAATTATAAGAAATTAATATGAGTATTTGTAAGTGCCTCGTTGTCTTTCGACTGGTGTTATTTCCCGCTCTTTTTCAAAATTTGTCCTTAGATCACCATTTAGGTGCCATCAAAATACTAGCTCCTCTGTCGCTCATTTGTTTATAGTATGAGAGGTAGGTTCTTATTTTACTCCCTATTTATTTATTTTCTATTTTTTTCCTTATTTCCTATTTCCGGTTTTTTAAGTTTCCTGTCATCAAGTAGGTGACCATAGACCTCGAGGGGTATACCCCCCTGCCCTTCTTCCTTGTCAATTTTCTAACATACCCTACTTCCCCTCTGGCATAACTTAACTCTCGGAACTAATGTCGTTGGTGGGTGGTTGTAGAATTTTGAATTCGGGCTCGTTTGAGTCGGTAATAAAAGCAGAGGCCCGGTCGATTTCCAAATTCAATAGATCCGATGAGATGTAGGAAAGTGAATTAGCAAGTTCAACAGTGACAACAGTCGATCAGTTTTGTGTAGCTGAATGCAAAATAAAGGTACCAACAAAATAACATTAACACTTTTCAATTTTTCACTTAATAATTGTTATAATTTCAAATTATATTTTCAAACAAAAAGACAAAATTGACACTTTGTATAAAAATACGTTTTTTTTTATTTAAATTAAAAATTATTAACCTTATTGAATTTACCACTTCAGTTTTTTTATTATATTATTGTAATCAATTATTTGTATGAAATTAAAAACCATTTTTTAATAACGCCAAAGAAGTATAACATTTTACGCTCCATAAAAGTACATACACTGTATTTTTTTTATACCTACACTCTACACTCCTACACTCCCCTCATATAATTACGCCCCTTTCGTTTATCGGGACTTATCCCTTTCAGTCATTGCGACTGGCTCAAAGTTGAGTGTTAATAATGATGACGAATGGTACCTAAATTTTGAAAAATTTCCCCAATAATTCCTCTTGAATAAATGAACCGATTTTGATGGATTTAACAACTATAGACATTATTATTTAACGATAACAATTGAGTAAGTTTTCAGATCTATTAGTAAATAATCTACAATATATTGTAAAAATACTCTTATTTTTAAAAAAATCTCCAAAGTTATTTCTTGAACAAATCTACAGATTTTTATGTAGCTTGTATGGCTATGTATGGCTAATCGTCTAACAGTTATTCCATAAAAACTTTTTTCTGAACAGTTTATTATTGAGATTCCTCAAAATTTACTAGGAAAAACTAGTTCGATGTTTCAGAAGATCTAGGTTGAGTGGATTTATTTTGAATGTCGTAAACTCATTCCGATCGTTTCATAAGTTAAAAAGTACACACACATGCACGCACACTCGCATGAACGCAAGCATGCACACACACACATACTCACAGATACACAACGAAAGTACAATATTTGAATATAAAATAAAAAAACAAACACTAGAAATAGATATATAGAAGGACAAAAATTTCAAAAGTGGTAAAATTTGTTTCAGAAAGTCATAAAACGATTGATCCCAAAATTTACCTACACCACGCACACACCACGCAGGCACGCACGCGCACACACACACACAAACACACACACACACACACACACACACAGAGAGAGAGAGAGAGAGAGACATACAGACATCATTGGAAAAATGATCGAAAGATATTTCTAGGGCTCTGGCCCTAAAACCCTGATCTAATGAAAGATCTAATGTAAACTCG